CGCATGGCCTTGACCAACGGCAGCATCACGTGGCTGACCATCAGACCCAGCGGCAGGGTGGCCCTCAGGACGCTGGGGGACTCTGGGTTCATGCCCCCCGATAAACTGAGCCGCACCTGATGACACATACACACACACTGGACTCTGTGTTCGATTCCCTTCAAGTGTCTTGAGAATGTCGTTTTTTTTACCGTCCTTGTTGAGAGGTTTGATTCTGTGCCATAAAGGAAAAAAAAAAAATTAAAATGTTTAAAATAGGAGTCGGCTAATGTCGATGAAAACTTTGAGAAATAAGAATAAATACGTTTGTTAAATCTTTCGTACGGTACTGGAGTGGTGTCTGTGGAACAGGTTCTTCCCACGTTCTGGTTCGACACCTGAACGTCTCTTGAAGCCTAAGTAGGGACCTGACGTCTGGGTTTAACACTGTGTCACAAGCAACATTTTTTAGGCGCATACCGCCACCTACTGTTCATGAGTGTGTAGTGTCACCGGCATGATCGGTGACATTTTAAATAACACCTGACACCTTGATGCGCGGGTTATTTAAAAAAAAAAATTAAACCGTAAATTGTATCGATTTTAATCGATTCACGATGCATCGTTACACATCGCTTCACATTTCTTCTGTTGCTGTGGAATGAACAGCGCAAAGATACATTGACAGCAAAGGAGGAGCGATGTTTTATTTTGGTAGATGAAAAAAAAAAAACAAAAACGGGACGAACATACAAGATCGAGAATCGTTAAGATTCAATTCGCAACGTCAACAACAACAACAACGACGACGACAACACAATGGTTTCAACCAAGTAGTTTATTCTCCCGTAGAAAGGTTTTGTTCACAAAAAGATTACATTCAAAACACGTGGTTCAGAGTCGAGTGGGGCGGAAATGACTGGCCTGGTTGTGACGTCACTGTCGATCCCTCACTTCATCCACAAATACTGACATTTAAGATCAGCCACGTACACAAGTTCGTCGTCTTTTTTTTTTTAAACTATCACTTAGCTAAAATATGACTGAGAGAAAAGAACAGCAGCACCACCCAAAGGACAGGAGGTGAACTGGAGCAGGTGTACACGTCAACTCCTTTCCCATTTTTTTTTTCAGACGTTTTTTTAAAGTAACTGTAAAGAAACAGAAGATCGTCCTCGATATTTCTCCGATAACGCTCATCTGTTTGGCGGTCATTTAATTTCATACAAATTCCTGCAGAGGGCGCTAAATACCACTTTTGAATTCAAACTGGAATCCAAAAACCAGGAAGTCTGGAACATTTTGAACGTTAACAATGATCTTTTGATTCTTCACAGTCACTGAGTAAAAACTCCTGAAAAATTGTTTTTAATAAAATTTGCAACAGCCAAGAAAAAGCATCAGAAAACACCGAGACCATAGGAGACCCTGGGGTCTGGATGGAGGAGGAGGACACGGAGGACAGGACTGAGAAGGTGGAAGCACCACACCTGAAGGAGGCTGCCAAAAAACAACAGACGAGTTGCTGGGAGTCGGAGTCTCTGTGATCTGGATGTAATGGTGGAGGAACGCCACCGGGGCAGAAAGCGCCACAGGAAACTGCAGTGACCTGAGGACGAGTCCAGCTGAGACACGCCGGAGACATTCGCCGTGAAGAAACTTTTGTGCCGTCTCATCTCATAAAAACCCTGGCTTTTCTTTCCACAGAGTGGCTCCCTCTGCTGGTAGGTAACCGTGGAAACAGTGGACACAGTTTTATATACTGTACATTTGGGGGTGGGGGAGTGGTGATCATTGGTGTCCAGTCTGAGGAGCAGTGTGTGTTCAACTGGACTATGGAAGTGAAAGTCGGTTTGAAAAAAAAAAGGTTCTTAGCCAAAAAGCTAGGGGGCGCTAGGGAGGAGGCATTCGTGGTTGGACTCGCATTTGAATTAAGTCCACAGCCGCCGTTGGTGTCTGAGGGACGTGGAGACGAACGGAGACGGGACGATGTCGTCTTTTTACGCGCGCACACACAGACTCGACACGTTCACGAACGGAGAAAACAGGAAGTGACCGTCTGCTCTCGCGCCATCGTTAATACAAACAGGTTTCGTTTTGTGCTACTGACTACCAGACAAAAATATTATTATTATTAATTCTTTTTTTTTTTACCTATTTAAACGTTGACATTTGAACTCCTTGTTCAGTTGACGGAACATGGTTGTCATCCAAACGAGCAAAGGTCAGAGGTCAGGGAGTTTGTTGAGTTGAACTGAGTCAGAATTAGCGAAAAACTTCCGACCGCAGGCATGTCGCTCTGCACGGATACGCACGGTACATCAACAATGAGACATCGACATCACGGCGTGATGTGATGTAGTACTCCTGTGTAACAGCGTAGTAGTAGTAGAAGTAGTAGTAATAGTAGTAGTAGTTGTTGTAGTAGTACCAAACATCTTTAATACAAATCTTTCAGACACTTGTGCATATTTCTGTTAGGTATGTCGTCGATGAGCTCCGGCCGCAGTTACCTCACTGTCAGCTAGGGGGTGGTGGTGAGGGCGAGGAGGGAGGGTCATGGCTGCAGTGGCAGTAGACGGGGGAGGGGCAGGTTTTGGGGGCAGTTAATACGGGTGCTCACTTTAGGGAATGAGGCGAACTCGCTCGATGGAGCTAGGGGTGGCC